AAAGGCAAATTTCTTCGAATTGTCAAAGTGCTACATTTTGTAAACAGCACGTAACACGAAAAAAAATCAGTATCTCAAATTCTGGAAAACAGATACGTTGAATATTAAATTCTTTGAAACTTTAACTCAAATTTAGAAGCAAATCTATTTACACATAAATCTTACTTCCTCGCAAAAATAGTGGTTCCAGACAGGACAGAACAGCACAGGATTCATTTACATTCCATAGATACTTCATAGGCCTAAGCCAAGGTTGTAGAACACGTAAAAGTAAGAATTAGTTTACATCATGGCACAAATTAATTACCACATGAAAACAATGAATGTGCAGTGATTTTCTGAGGTGGTTTCTTGGTCTAATATTTCAAATTCCTTTGATATATATGTCTCTAAAATGCCTGAACAGCATTAATTTGATATGGAAATGTGTTATGTAGTCATACAGAGGAAATGCCAATATCTTGTGTCACATTATTTATATCACACAAATGTTATTCTGTTCAGAGAACGCTTTTTGGAACTTCGCAACATTAATGTCACATTTTCATCTTCTTGGGGGGAGGGGGCATGACTCTGAGATGGCAAAGTTTCATGCAACTAGGCCAATTCAGTCTGTAACAGTCACTAACAACCACCACAATGAATCTATTTAAAATTTTAAGATGATTATTAAAAAGTTACACATTCATTTGTGCAATTCTTACATAACTACATACGCAAAAACAATTGTGTTGTCGAGAGAGAGAGAGCGCATCGAACTGAACATCGTGGTTAATACTCCTGGTTCATTTTGGAATGTTCAACAATCGGACCGAGGACCACCTAATTCGACTGACGTTTTCGTGATTTTCCTAAGTCCTTGCAGGCAAATGGCTGAAAAGTAACTAACATTAGGCCATGAATGTTTCCTTCCCCTTCCCAACCACTATTCATTTTTCATCAAATCCTTCGACGCTAAAGGACAGTCTGAGCTACTTACAGCGTTGAAAAATAAATAAATAATAGACATTATCAACTATTAAGCATCCGTAGAATGTACCAGTTCTCGGTTAACTTCACGCAACTTCGACTCAGGAAAGTACACCATTATTTGTTAAAACGATCCACGTAACAAAGCAAATGATGCCACAAAGAAAAAGGAGCTGGACATCTTCCGATGCTACAGCCGAGCGTGCAACCGCTACGAAAATTAAAATACGTACAACCAACTTCAGAAAAATTGTAAATTTTAGCATTAGACAATGGATAAGGCCATGCAGAATTAAATATAAAATTGTCAGTCCTTTCATAAGATAGCGTATAATTCATCGCCCTGATGACGGAGGCAGTATGACCTCTGAAACGTTGGTTAACATCGACCAGACTACACAGCGCAATAACCCAGAAGACAGAAATCTTCAGTGTATAATTACTTTATCAGTTACGACACATCCACATACTACTCTAGTCGATTGCCCCCGTCCCGCCGGCTTTTCTCAACAGGACCAACAATGCACCGTCAGTTATGTGGTCTGGCAAGTCTGGGCCCTGAATCTTCGCAGCAACTCATCTGTATCACCGCAACACCTACTGGATTCGGTGGTTACATTGTGACCACATTACCACGAATCACGTCTTCGGCGACAACCACTCCGAAGCAGACTCTTCTACCCTGAAGCTACACCCACCAGTACTGCCAGCCGTTGCACAATCATCAGACACTACGAAGATAGAAACCCCATTTCCTTTGTGTAAACGGCTTCAGTTTTGTTCACCCTCATCTAGGCATCCAACTACCACTGCAAACCTACAAGGTTCACGCTCTGTGTTTGTTCTAGTGTCGTGTATCATTGCTTACGTACGTACGGGCAATGGCTTGACCCTTCGCTCTTGTATATGTGCCCTGCTCACAAGCCAATTTCGGGTGTCTGTCGAAGGAATAGAGGGGCCTGCGGGAAGACGACGAACTGTGTTTACAACATACTGCCTACACGTGTACACGTGGCGTCATATGTATTTTAAACGTTCATTTCGAGGAGGTACAGTTCAATGGTAACATTACCGACTAGTATTCGTGATAACGGGGTCGAATGTCAAACGGGATCACCAACTACCCTGTGGCTTTCCCGCTTCTACAAGCTGTTCCTACCATAACAATAATCTGCGAATCCCATTCCGTACGAAGTTTCGCCTTCAGTTGGTAAAGTCGTTAAATAACCAATCATTCATCCACACTTCTCTGAACTCCAGAATACTATTAACGGAATACATTTGTCTTGTTTCAAAACCAGTTTCAACGCCTACAAATGCGGCTATTTTCTGAATATGTTTTGGTAACGCTTGTAATCTAAACAAATATCTGCAGGCGTGCAAAATTTAACCCTTGGATGGAATCACTAAAGGTTTACCCAAGACCAACAGTTTTTAATGGTTGTTTAATTCCCATTTTCTGTGTTTTCATGTTTGAAACAACTTTCTTTATAATGCGAACATGCTCAGAATGTAGTATTATCATTACACCTTGTTCACAATTTATGTATCCATGTATAAAAGCTTTTAAATGGTATTCGTAACTTCATAAATGAATCCACAGTTAAGTATGAGGTAATTCCAAAGATCAGAATGTGCAACAAAAGATTCCTTACACAGTCCTTTATTAACCCTTATTAATATAAGCCTTGTGTTTTAGATTGATGTTGATGATGCTTAACTTATGAAATATGAAGAATTTCTTCTGTACAATAATTATTACATTACTTAGATTCAATGACAGATGATACTTTGTTATCCTCTAATAATTTCCTTACTCAACAAAAACAGATTTAATTTTCTTTAACAAATTTTATCAAGATTAAATTAGGTTAGTTTGGAATAGCTTAATAGAAGCTGTGTTTTATCCCTGTCAATAGTACATTACTGATGACTTATTGAATCTTGCTCATTTCTATGGATGTTGTAAAAATGTCAAAATGGGCAGGTCTTATGAAGGGTCATAATTTAACAATTCTGCTATTTTAACTTCCTTATTACAGCTAATGACATCTACTAGTGAATGGTGTAAATACAAATCATCATGTAAACAAAGACATATAAGAAACTATGATTTGAAGCTATCACAGTGACTATGTATAATGAATTATTCTCGGGCTACTAGCCATGTAACGTTGCTTAACGAAGAAAGAATGTTTTCTTCATTACACCACTTTACACGGTTGGTAGTCCAAGAATAATTACTTATACAGGGTGAGTCAGAAGTATGTCTACAAACTTCATATGCGTGTTCCAGGATCAAAATAAGAAAAAAAAATGTTTCTATGAACAAGGGGTCGCAAATGTTTCATTTTCGAAATAATGGCTTTTTTTGACTATTATTTCGAAAATGAAACATTTGCGACCCCTTGTTCATAGAAACATTTTTTTTTCTTATTTTGATCCTGGAACACGCATATGAAGTTTGTAGACATACTTCTGACTCACCCTGTATATAAGAAATAAGTTGTCATTTTATAAAACTGTAAAAACAATATTTGTTGAAATTTACCACAAAATTTTCAAAGATCATGCATCTTTATGTGATAGGTATTCCTTCTCTAGTGACTAATGTGTGTATATCACCCTATTCCATATCCTCTGGTGGTGACAATTAAGAGAGGAAAATAAATTTAATGGCTTGATGAGGAAGTGTTTGAAAGATCTATTTAAGGTATGCAGAGCAGTGAATGCTGGTAAAATAAATTTACTTACTTTGCAAGTATAGTATAAAGTTTGAAGTGCTCTCTGTGAGAAGAAACAGGTTTCAAACAAAGATTCTGTATATGAAGAATGCAATCATAGCATGAGGAATGGATAATGGTTCAAGAGATTAAAACTAATCCGATAGATTGCTAAATTCTTGGACTTTGTCCATCATCTGGTATTCAAAAAGAACACAACATTCCAGAAACTAGATATGTTTTGATCCTCAAGTAAGAAGGGAAGAGTCACCTACTCAGTTGGGTCTGTTAGAAAGAGCAAACCTCAGTCGCTGAACTGAGTCCTAAGGTTAGCTCTTGACAGTGGTGAGCAACTGACTGACAAGTGGTTACCAAAGCTGCTGCTGGGATGGCTGTGCAGGACCAATTTCTTGCTGGAGCTCTTGAAGTGTTGCTGCCTTTATGCTGTACACCATGTCCAACAAGTAACCCCACAAGAAAAGTCAATGTGGCAATCATGGGTGGATTACACTATGTTCCCCTCATAAACACAACACATGGAGATAAATAATAAGGTCAATATTCCATACTATATGAGCCAGCAGAGCTCAGTCAGTATAGGGACCGGCTACAGACTGGACAACCGAGGTTCGATCCCCAACTGGGGACAGAGGATTTTTGCTCTAGCCTCTGCATCCAGACCAGTACTGGGGTCCATCCAGCCTCCTATCCAATGGGTACTGGGGTCCTTGCTCAGGGGTAAATGTGGCTCGGGCATGTCGCTGACCACTCACCTCCATCTAGTGCCAAGGTCAAGAATGAGTAGGAGCTATACCTCCTCTCCCCCTAAGTGTCTATATGCTGTCACATTTCTTAGACTATGTGTATTTTAATTTGTATTCAAGTGTAGTACATGACAGAAATGATGTTAGGTTCTTAGGTTGGGTCTCTTTCTACATGAGTACAACAGCCAGAGTATGAAGCACCACTCAGCTACATCTGATGTCAAGTTAACAATGCACAGAGATCATCTTTGGTTCAGTAAGGAAGCCTTAAATTAATACAACACTGAAGATATATTTCCAGTATCCTGCACATCTTCATTGTGTGTTCCTTAATTAAGCACAAGCACAACTTTACCTTTTTACTGATAAATTCAAAATGTGGGATGATGTACATAAATTATATAGTAGGGTTATACACTTGAACAATTTTTTTTTCAATGACAATGCAAATAACATTTTAAACATGACTGCCAGGATTACCTCCAATAAATAAACTGTTAGCAAACATACAATATGTTAAAGAGTAGTTTAATAGTTGACTCACCTCCGTGTACCCCATGTTCATAAGCTGGACAAGTGTCTGACGCAGAAGGGTTAAGTCCTTTTCAATTCCGTTGCCACCAGAAGCTGCACTTATTCCACTGTGACCAGATGCAGAACTTACTCCACTAGTGGTTGAAAGAGTTGAGATAGTACTTGCAGCACTTGAACCCAAGTTCTCTCCAAGATTACCAATATTTGCAAATGGCAACAGTGAGTTCCGAATTTCTGCTAAAGCCTTCTGATGGTAGCCCGAGGAACGGGTTGAGGACTTGCCTGACGTGGCAGGGTTCATAGTGACGATGAACTGCTGGCCCATACTAGGCCCAGCGGGCGGGCAACAGTCACGTGCCCGCGGGCCACTGTTGCACCTCCTGCATCCACAACTGCACTCTGTATCACACGGATTAAGCACTCACCAACTTCACTACCATAAAATCACTCACATTACACCACTGATACACGTCGTACTGACCACGTTTCACCAGTAAAATCAAAAATAACTTCTTCTATCACATCTGAGGAGACGAAATGTGGCTTAAAGGCAGCATTTTCACAGCACTTGTCATTTTGTCAGCTACATCTGAAAGAAACAGTATAAATACATGAACTGAAAAAACTATATTTTGAAGACATGCTGTTATTCTCATCAACTTTAGCTTCAGTTCTGTTACAGTACTATTAGATTACATTTACCACATGTAACTTCAGCAACCAATTGTACCAAAGAAACATTCAAGATAAAATGGTTAACATTTTACAATATTTACTGTTTTCATTTGTTAAATTTAACTGTCATATATAGATAAGAGACCTTATGGCTCAGCTTAATCGAGAACTGCATTCATGTGTGTTTGAACCTACCTCCTCTTAGATTTGACAAGCAAATCTGTTTTCCTGTCAAAAACATAAATATTAAATATGATACAATGATATTACATATGTAATATATGAGAAAGACTGGTATTGAAGCTAGTAATATCAACAAACACAAAATCAGTAACATGCTGGATGAGAGGGTAATACATGCAAAACTAAGAATGGTATTAAGCTTAATAAAAACCCAAATTCAGAGCAAGATATGCTGACATGTAACACATCAAGACTAAATTGCATTTTTAATCAAATTCACATACCTTCAAACACTTCTTTACAGGATGCAGAATCATAGACAATGTAGAGAATAGGTACAAAGTGGTAACCTATATCTCATAATAGTTTTATTTCAATTTATTACTAATCAGTCATATTGTATTTAATTAGCTTAAGAATTAGTCCAAGCACATGTATACTTGTTAATGTGAACTGCATCTTTGTCATAACCTTGGAAACAATTTGATTTTAATTTAAAATTAACAATCTGATCTCATGTAAAAAAGGAAAATTTCAACCATTTATAATCACCACCAACTAAACTTGACTCTAAAATACTACTTAACTCTGTAAAAACAAAGATCAAATAACGTGGATTAGGCTCACAGATATCATATATACGACACAGAGTAAAATGTTAATGCCCTTTGCATAATTATATTCTTGCATGCAAAATATGCGTAACTGTAACTCACAAATCCTCATTGTAACTGCAAGCATATATTTTGCTAGGCACTCAGTTTGGACGGATTACTTCTGGCAGAACCCTGCAAAATATAAATATATGATTGTAAGAAATTGGTCTAAAACCTAGGTTATA